TTTTTTGTATATGATTCTAATATATATATATATATATATATATAGTATATATATACATATACATATACATATATAATCATTGATTTAAAATCTCTTCCTCCTACAATAGTCGTGCATGGGCTTAAGGGTGCCATACGTTACTTTGATAAACATTATGGGAAGTAAATCTTATGAATATTAATTATAGAAAGATGATATGAGATAGAATGTGTTTTTAGGCTCTTATTTCGTATGGAATATGTAAATTTAAACGTAGTATATATGCACAAGGAGCTATAGAAAAATATGTTAGGAAGATACGTTCGGCTCTGTATAAGCTGAATATAATTAGTTAGGAGTCAAAAGTATTCCTGGCATTATCTCGTACAAAGTCTTTTGGATAAATCAATGTATTTTGTATTATTTAATTTATGAATTCTTCTATATCTTTTTAAGATTTATACATATACATACACAGAATATATAAATAATAAGAAAGATTGCAAGCATATATTATGCCAGGAATAAAGTAGTACGCGTAATATCTGCGACGATTTAATCGGATAGATTATAAAAGGACTGAGAATTAATTATTCCGACTCGATGGAATATTTATCGATATCAATTAAATCCCATTAGACGTATTCTTTGAAATGACGCGAGATTACGAGGCGCTGCGCATCTCTCGCATACTCTGTGTTCCTCGCATAAGTGTATGTTAAGCATATTATTGGAATCGACACTATTGTCATACAGATTGTATGATTTTTCGCATTCCAGGTCTTAAGAAATGTATTCTATGGGGTAGGCCTTTCACAGACAAATCTCTGTCTTTAAACTATTTTAATTGATCTCGGTGTCTGTTTTTTTTCCTGTATATCGTTGGTCCCCTCGTCGTTGCGATTATTGTTCTGTTTCGTGAGATTTTCTTTTTAAATCTCAACAAACGGAATCGGAATTACATTATTTCGATGCTGCGACAAATCATATGGCGGAGCAACGAAAATTAATCAATCACTTATTCTGCCTTGAGTATATACCATCGATGTTTAACGTAGACGTAGATCGTAATGCTAATGCACCCCCTTCCCTTCGCTAAAGAGCACCGTTGTATAGGTATAGTCTTATGGGAGCAACAACTATATATTATATACATATATGCAAAATATAAAAGCGCCGATGTCCCATACATATCGTGCTTCTTCTCTACTTGTAACGAATATGAATATTTCCGTACAATCCTTACGAATAAGTATAATTTACTGTAATTCATCGCTACGTCTATTATCAATGTCTATCGATCTAACATTATTATTATAACAGCTCTCTCCCCTCTTTCATTTTCTTAACTCGTTGTCACGGATTTCCGTGATTACGAGAACCTGTGCATGCGGACTGCACTTCTTTAAGAGATGTGGGTGTGTTTCCAGAACTGTTCGGAAATAGTTTATTGATTTTGTAATATCCCCTTCCCCCTCAGGGGGTTCGATGACGCCGCAAGAGATAGAGAACTTGATTTTCGCGGCTATAATTTCACTAAAGTATCTACTATCGGCACAAATCTTTAAAATAGATGCCCAACAGATGTTCTAATCCTTCAAACGTATTTTGAATGTCTTACGTTTCGATTTTTTTCTGTGTTTGAGTATTTACTTAATATATCTCATAAACGTATATTCACGACATTTTCACTGCTAATAATGCAATGAATGTGTTGATGCAACAAGGGATGAAAAATTTATTTCTATTCACTCGAATCACCCTGATTTTTTACTTTTCCTCTTCTTTATTTATATATTTATTCATTTATATCGTTTTTAATTTTATTTTAATTTTATTTTTATTTGTCGTTCCCTTTCCTTTCAAATCTCGAGCACGCCCTCCCTCTTCGTGAATCGCTCCAAGATCGCAGGTACGGTAACGAGATATCCTAGTCGACACCGCACGATCACTTGCAGAGTTGTACGACGCGAGGCGTGAGAAACCCTCGGTTTTAGTGACGTCACCCGGCTCGCCGGACCTGCATGCCCAAGGACGCGGTCGACACTCCCGACATCCAACCGGAAATGCGAACGTGGGCGGCAGCATTCAGGTGAAGCTGGGTTTCGATCCTGTGGGACTTCAGCTGATCGTCACGATTATTTGTGCCGCGGGACTCACGCCGAAGAGCAACGGTCAACCGAGAAATCCTTACGCCAAAATCTTTCTGCTTCCTGACAAAAGGTGAGAAACAGAAATATATGTTAATTGTTTTGATCGATTGAGAATTTTTGAGAGATTCTCGACTGAATCGATCGTTATGGTATTAAATTATTATAAAAATGCAGATAAAGACAATAAAACAAATTGTTTGATGAATATTTTGTTTTTCGATCCATTGAAAATTTCGATTTAAATTCCACTCCAATTTTCAAATTTAATTACTGAACAATTATCCAATGGAGAGTTCTTAAAACTTATATGTATGTTCTTCAAATGTTATAGCGAGAAATCGAAGCGGCGTACGAAGACCGTGGCGAATACAAACGATCCTAGATGGAACCAGACTTTCGTTTATAACGGAGTTAGACGCTCGGAATTGAGGAAAAGGGCATTGGAGATTACGGTCTGGGACTACGCGAGGTACGAGGCAAACGATTTTCTTGGCGAGGCTGTCCTGGAATTGGCAGTATGTCTCTTAGACGAGGAACCAGAATGGCATTCTCTGACCGCTCACGGAGAACACCGGCACGTCAGGTATGAATCGCACTCGCGGATGCTAGTAGTTCCAAGATGCCAATACTAAAAGCGATCAAATAAATACCTTGCATCAATACGAATCTCCCGCGGGATGTTCGACAATGTTCTCAATGTTCCCTGCTTACGATGTGACATTACAGTAGCTTATTTCGCGAGTCCCAGAAATTTGCATGTCGAGACTCGAGAATGTCAGAAATTAATCCCGAAATTTTTTGATATTTTTATTTCTAAAGAGATTATGAACAAATTTAACATCGCGAGACTTACGTTAACATTATATTTTTCTGGATACTATAGGCATTACCAAGATTCTGATGACGTGCTAGATCATCATCTCAGTCCACCGTCGACCACTTCGAGATTAAGTGACTCCGACACCTCGGAGTGCGATATTACGGACTGCGACGTGTCGAGGGAACAAAGAAGAACGGCTGACGGTGCCAGCATAAGTAGTATCGGCAGTTCCTCTAGGTAATATTATCTCTTAAGATCTCTCTATGGTACATATATACATAAATCTCAGTCTGGCGAAAGAGTATTATATCAAGCCGCCGGAAATAATCGGTCAACTTTAGATTTTTGCGTTGAACACTCTGTAAATTTATCGTATATAAACCAAAATTCTTTTTAACAAGAAACACAAGATAATATATCAAGAAATAAATCTTTAAACAATTATATCGAAAATTGATTAGTTATAGTTATTTAAGTATGCATTACACTTAGCATACTTGACCGGTGGGAATTGTGTTAATCTGACAGCGTTACTGTCTCCCCCCCCCCTTCCCCGGCTTAAAATCTTGTTTATAGATCTCGTAACCATTCTCATAGTTATTGCCGTAACAATCATTCTCGTGTTGCTTGTGCATCGCGACCCTTATCACTGATAATACAGAAGCATATTCGTTCCAAATTTGATGTAAAAAAATTCCGGCGCGAGAACTCTTTCCGTTATTAGTTTTCTTCTGTTATAACGAGGCTGAGTTGTGTCATTGAATAAGTGCTAGAATTTTTACAAAGCTACATTTGTATAAAGATGGAATTTTTACTGATTTTTTTTACTAGATTGCATTTTGAGCCACTTTTGTCAATAGTTATAAAGTTATTATATAATTACATAATAAATAATTGCAAATAGTTTTTTTAATGATTTGAAAGTGGCTGCAATTGTACAAGGTTCGACTTTCTTTCTTTTTTATACGATTAATGAAGCTAAGTAGAGAAGAGAAAAACAGACATAAGTCATAAATACGAATATACTGTATAATATAAATTATTGCGAAAAAAAAAAAAAAAAGACGGGGGTTGAACGGGAAGGGGTAATCGAAAGAAAGAGAGAGGGCAAAAGCCAAGTTATAAAACTGGGCAACAAGCCAATTGACATAGCAGTTGGCCCGCGACCATCGTCAGCTCCGGAAGTCAGCCTTAAAACTCGTATCCATATTAATATTCCAACGACGATGTCTGATCGTTATTTGTGAGTACAAAGTGTGGTTTTCGCCAAAGCTTTTAAGTCTCCACTCTCTTATCAAATAGAAGAAATGATAGTGCATATCGAAATGAAATAAAGTAGAAAATTATTTAACAATAAGGTTTTAATTATCTGTAATAATGAAATCATTTTCAAAATTGTACGGATATTAAATTTTTTTAAAAAAAGAAAATAGATATTTTTTTGCAATAAATTATTCATTTGCTGTAAATGCAAAACTTGTGTATATTGTATATCGGTGCAAGTATTCATCTCAATAATGACAAAGTTTGCCTAATAACGAAATTAAAATTTATGATATTAAATGTATTTGCGATGTTAATAATTATCGAATATTTGGCAAACAAATTTCTCGAATTTATGCCTATCTGTGTAACAACGTTTAGATTATTTTAAAGAGTGACTTCCTCATAAATTTTTTCGTCGATGATACGCAAGAAATCGAATCAATATAGCGGATCTAATGAAAACGTATGCTATCCTCGATAGGCTTGGCAAGTAGAGTGGCAGAGATGGGGATAAGCCGAGATACTATCCGGCATCGCTCTGCACTTCTTTTATACCGAACAGCTTCGATCTGCAAAGTGAGCGCTTCTATATCCCTAAGCGCGCATCAGCCTCTGTAAAAGCTGTCCCGAGTAATTGAAACATTCCGGTGTTCCCCTGAGAGAACGGCGGACATCCTGCGCATTTTTAACAACCTTCAGTATCGTCTAATGAGATTACTTGAAAGGGTTTCGCCGGTTACATTAATAATTCTTTCGTCGTCAAGTCGGTGACAATAATGCGATATGGACGATGCAATTCGATATAATATTTTCATTAAAATTCTATTCAGAAGCGCCCACACACATACATACACGCGCACACAAATTATTATATTTAATGACAAAGTAGAAGTAGCTCTTTTAATAGGCGGATACATGTACGAAAATTAATTGCAAAAGGAATTTACATTCGTAATTGTATATATCTTACATATTTTTTTTCTATCGCTTTTTTATGATCCTGTAAACATTGAGTAAGATATTATAGAGAAAAAGCACCAAAACCGAAATAGATCTCCTAAACTAATATAACTCATTAATTGAGTGGAACACTTTATCAGAGTTGATATGAATTTTGTTTGCTTACAGTTTACTCATTTGAAGTATATCCAATGCATTTATAATTCGTTTTTTATATACTGAATTAGCTTGTTTCGAGTTCTAAAAGTCCAAAAGTTTTTATCTTTCTGTGATTTTCTTTTGGCGAATTATGTAATCTAAATAATAATAGGTATATATATTTTCATAATTATGTTTATTATGTTTTTCTACTTTTTTAATGGTTTCTAAATCTGCTTTGTTTTTATATAATTTTATTTCTATTTTATTTTTATCTTTATCTTTTCTCACAGAGAATGCAGTAAGGAAAATTAAATTAGAGTTTTTCGACGTACTCTGTGGTTTATATATCGACATTTTACCAATTCAATTCAAAGAATATGAGTATGTAAATTGACTAATTTGATCACATTTAAAAGATTTTAATTTAAAGAGACAAAAGAAATGTCTGTGTATAATCTTAAAACGTTTATCTTTATAAATAAATAAAACAACAATGTAATTTATTTAAAATTAAGTGAAACTTTTTTTTTCAATTAAATAATTTATTATAATACTTTTTTGCATATTTTATCGTGTTTCTATAATTTTTAACAGATATGTCGGTTTTGGAGATTAATTTCTCACATTTTAATTTTTTTCCATTTTACAAAAAGGCCATTTATATTTAAAAGTTTAAAACGATATTATCAAAACTGATAAAGAATAGTTTTCAATAAATATCTGCTGGTATAAATTCTTATTTTGACTTTTTAACTAGAAGCTAGAGCCTGAAAAATGGCATGTCGGTTTTGGCAATTTTCTTCTACGTATATATATATATATATATACATAGTAATTTATATCATAGCACAATATTCTTTGAATAGACAAATATATGTTTTAAATATTAAAGTACAATCTATGGCGAGATAAGAAACATTAAATACAATGATGCGTTGGCCGCGGCCGCGCCCGCTCATTGATTTTAATTTTAATCGTGTGCTTTGTTATTTATTTTTTAGGTTTCATAATATGCCGTCAAATTATAAGCGGTACGGCCATTACAATTTATATTTTTTCCTCCTTCATTACGCAGTCACACGTCTTGCATCCTCACTGCTAGGTTACAATGTCGCGCTTAGATCAGTCAATTAGTCATGCGACAAGAAAAAGAATCGGAAGTATAATAAAGACGAGACAACGGGACAACGCGAACTGACGCGATCACGTAACTAATTTGATCTTAACGAGAACATGAGAAATTTTTATTCGGTAGGGATATATTTCTAAGGACAGATAGAGGGGGGTGGGGGGAGCAGAAAAAAGTGTTTTCGGGCAAAGAAAGAAACAGTGACTATGATACTGACGTCATCGGTGACAAGGAATATTGCCATTGGCGTTCAACTTTCTTCCATTTTTCCCGTTACAATATTTTACGCAAGACGTGAATGTCACAATGTACAATAAAGTACAGCGTTTCAATGTTTCATAAAATTTTCGGGGCATTTTGTCTTTGTTCTTCGCTAAGAAAAGAACGTGTGAAAAAATAGTATTAATTAAAATAACAAAATAGCGGAGCACAAAAATTTAGCGAATCGCCATCCATGTAGGCACTTTAGACGTCATACTGTCATTGCTTCTTGCATATTATGTACGTTAAATCTTAGATGCGACGAGACATGGCTTTTAGAATGCTTAGTGCATCGCGACGCATCGGCCGGGGTGGATTAAATTTCTTTCTCTTTGCGAGCTTTGATGATGACTGCAATCACACATCGGATGCTATCCAATTCTCGAGACTGTCTTGCACGGTCACTTTGCTTTTCGTTGCCAGAAACGGTGAAAATCCCATCTCGGAATTTGTATCAATACAATACATTTCGCACTATCGATCATTGATGTGCAAGAGTCGACTACTTACGCAGTCTTGGCATTCATCGAACGCACTTACATGGCATATTCTCAGTTTTATGGCGACTCGTGATTCCTCCGTTTTATCGCGCGACTTTGATTTTTGGCAACGAAAAGAGTACGCAATTGAGAACGCTGTGTAAACGCCGAGGAGACTTGACTGCATTGCTGAATAACTTGGAGCCGCTTCTCGCGCCAAATTAGAAGATATGCATCTTTTGCAGTTTGCGATATAAGAAATTGAATCGAGTTTATAGTAGAATATTACGCCAAATAATGCGTACAAATATATTTTCAAGAGATAAGTCTGACTGAATTTTTGTCTTGATTTTGTTTTTTTATACATTTCTCGGTGCTACGTAGTTTGTCTTCATTTTTATACTTTCCTTTCCGCTTCTTTTACCATCCTGGCCGCATGCATTTTGAGATTAGCGCGAGACTCACAGCACTCGCCTCATTTAATTTGTAAGGCACGCAATATTCACTGATTGATGAAAAAAAATGAACGCATGCTGGAGCAGCCACTATTCTAGCCCGCCACCGGAGAGAGAACTCTGCGTCGACGGCGAGCATCGGAGTCGAAGGGACATGTCGCCTCAAGGACGTAAAAGAGCGGCCCTTATGATTTCTCGCGACCAGCCAGCTACCATCGGGTCCGGTTATCAGACATATCGTAAGGTAAGACGTTCGAGAAGGCATGCGCGCGTTCGGTTTTTAATTTCAATTCGAGCGTCAATGACGAAGGAGAAATTAATCGATAAATTATATGCGGAAGAGAAAAATATATTCACGAGAAATATTCGCGAAGCATATTTGGGTGCATTAAAATATGTCGATATCTCGTGCGTACAATTAAGTAATGTTTAGCGGTAATATTGTTATGCGTTATTAAATGCGTATCCCCAGGACGACATCCATCGGGGAATGATGGGGCATAGGTCACACAGTGCAGCGCCTATGGATTCTTCGAGCGTCAGATACCGAGGAAGATCTCAGAGTCCCACCGGTCATCGTTCCTTGTCTCCGCCTGAGCATAGATCCATTCCCTATTCGCATGGATACGTCCATACGCCGAGGTATGAAATATATCATTGGAAACTTTTCGATTCACTCATCGTCAGGTCGTTTGCAAGAGAGAACTGACAATGCGGATTTACCGCCGCGCTTATTTAGATTCGGCTCGAGATCGGCGACTGCCACTCCCACTGGATCGCCAAAGAAACGTCAGCTACCTCAAATCCCGGCAGCCTTGAAGGAAAGGGTCGCGCAAGATCTAGAAGAACGAGCGAGATTCATGAGACATCGTAACAGGCAGTCGATATACAGAAGCACAGGCATGGGAGGTGAGCTCGCTTCGATCTCTCTGTCGAAAAACTTGGTGCTTTAAGTGATCGATAACCTGTCTTACATAATACTTGCTATTTTACACTACTTTCGACTGAGAAAGAATATAAATAAATATGATATAACAATAAATATACAGGCTGTCTCAAAATTAAACGATCAAACTTTACTAGTATGTTGTATGGCTGGAAACAAGAAAAAAAATATAAATATTAGTTGAAAAATATTTTATTAGAAAGTTAGTACAATAAAACTATTAAACATGAAAATAATAGCGGATTCGTTGTTGATACATAACGATGCAAGAGTAAATTGACGATATTTATCTGTTTACTATGGCATTTTTTTATTATAATCTTTTTCTATTATAGCTCGATTTTTACCTGAAGAAAACTGTAAAAAAACGAAAGTTATATAAGAAATAATTTGTGACAAAAATGAATTGAGAAAGAGTTAGTTTAGTATTTACTGAGTTATACAGCAAAACATAGACATAAAATTTGTAGAATATTAAATTCAATTTCTTAATGATATCAAATTTGTATGAGAAACAAAAACATTCGAAATGGAAAATAACAGAACGTATTCTTTTTTCATCGTAACGTGATAATAAAACATTTTCGGGCAAATGTTCATGTAAAATTTTTTTCTTTTTTTTATTCATAAAACATACCAGCAAAGTTTCATCGTTTAATTTTGTACATTCTGTATATAACTATAATTAATTTTTTTTATACAAAAAAAAAGATTTTTTTTTAATGACTGTATTTTAAATAATATTGATTATTTATAGGATGGGAAAGGCATTACAGTGGTCTTTCGGACTCGGATCTTCCCTCAATCGGACACGATCCATTAACGTTGCCACACAGTCAAGCTTACAGGATGCATAGACCGAGGAAAGGACATTTGAGTCCCGACAAAGATGTGCTCGGTGATCTCGGTGATTCTGATATGGAGAGCATAGCTTCGGTAACGAGCAGTGCCTTTAGTACACAATCGGAACGACCACGTGGATCGAGAGCACTAATGTGAGTATAGTTTCGTAATCATTGCGCTATCTTATACGGACGACCTCGTGTTGCAACGTCAATGTGCTAAGCAACGCAGATTCCATAGTCAACAGAGTATCCCGTTAGGGAGGGATCGAACATCGAGTGTGTAGTCTATCGTCAAACACATCATCGTTACAACGTCGCGATGTACCGATATCATAGATCTCAACTTTTGTATCTTTACACACGAGATAAAGCTCGATCAACGCGGAATAGCACACTCAGCAGCTCGATCTCTCAAGTCAAGGATAATTCCTGGATTAAATGGACATTGTCAACTAAATAAATATCCTGTAGTCGCACTTTTCACATCCTGCTTGCGCGTCAATGTTCCAGTGTTCTTCCCCGCCTTCTCTACGAAGCGATTATAGATTGCACTTCCTATGCACTCTGTGTCAATGTCCATTTAATAAATGTGTCCCATTCTAAGAAAGCAGGGATCTCATAAGTGCGTGGCGTTGGTCGAACAGTTAGGGCCTTAGTTGTGCCTCGTCTGACACGTTATAGAAAAGAAAAACAGCACATCGATCGCCGCGTGTCTCTTCTGAAATGCCGACCCGTTGCTCTCGGCAGAGTCGAGTTCTGAGATTTCATGATACGATATACGAGTTCGATCGATCGCGAACGCGCGGTAGACATCAAAGAAAGAAAAAAGTAAAAGAAAAAAAAAAGCGGAATGGGTTCACCCTTTGATTTGTGTGTTTCCGCAAGAGCGCTAAATCTCTCTATATGAAAAACATTGTTTGCAGACCGACAGTTAAAAACGTATTAATACCCGGTGTCATATCCCCCATGCCCCCGCCCCCTAGGCGCAATAGGCGCAGGCACAGACTTAGGGTACCCTGCAGCGAATGCCATTGTCCGAGCAACAGTAATCCCGCCAAACAGCCCAAAAACAACCCCGGCAAATGTCCCCTCCTTCCGCGTCCCCTCGTACGGAGCAAGTCCGCAGTGGTGCGCTCGTTGTACAAAAAGATGCGTACGCCCTTCACGAGATCGCAGACCGTCGACGAGAACATGCTGAGATATTACAGCCCCGAGACCAGCGAGTACAGCGTTTCCGAGGGGTACATACTCAGGCCAGAGAGACTCGTAGCCGCTAAGAATCGTATACCGGAAATATACGTCGAGGACTGCCTTCGAGTCGACTTTAACGATCGTTTCTTGGAGAGGTTTCGCTCCGAGTATTCGGCGTCGTGTCACGCGGACGGCCGCGACGCGTTGTCGTCGCATAAAGAGTCGTGCGACGAGTGCGCGGCGACGACGGCGACGACGACGATTGTCTCGAGGGGTCCGATCGATGATTTCCCCGATCATCTCGATATTAGGAGCATAGATGCTAGTCCGCATCCGCGTAGGTCTCTCTTAACCGCTAAGGCTAGGAGCTTCGATTACGACGTGATGCACGATACATACGGTGATGATCGTTTCGGTACTAGGCCAGGATCCGTCGGTCTGCTATCGCGCCGGGCCAAGAGTTTCGAGTACGAGAGCATTTCGAGCAACATATTCAGCGACGACAGTCTCAGGACCGCCCGGAGAAAGCTCAAGCGGAATCTCTCTCTCAGCGACGCCGGCTATGGCGACAAGATACCGGCGCTGGGCGATCAGAGCAAGTCCTACTACGATTCTAATGGCGACGACAAAGTGCCTACAGATCTCGCGAGTAAGGAAACGAATTACGATTTTCTTCTCCAAGATCATAAGCCGTTTTACGGATACGACTCGGAGCTCAGCTGTGGCGAGACGGAAATTTACGTTCCAAGCTTCGACAAGCGAGGCATCGATGATTATCAATCTACATACGGTTCGCGTTTAGCGGACAGCGAGCGATCCAATCTGAGAAATGTGTTGGACAAGGACGATACCAGCAAGAGAAAATACGTGGACGAAAGTTATTTGAATCACGAATCTTCGTACATCAGAGATATATCCTCGGAGAAAAAAATGAAGAATGTAGAAAGTGATCTTTGTAACACGATCGGCGATCCTATCTACTGCAACATCGAAGATGTTCTGTCGTCTGGTAAAAATTATGATCGCAATATGCTCGCGAGATCCGCTACGAAGATTCATGACATCTCTAACGTAGACGAGAAGTGGATATCGCAAGACGCCAAAGGTATCCTGCGATCACACGGAGATACTGGCAGTTTCTATCAAAGAGATAAATACAAAGATTACGAGAACTGGGACACCGATTACGACGAAGGATTCATAGAGCGAGAGAAAGTCGATGATTACGAGCAGAAGCGATTCGATTATCTAAATGACAGTATCCGAGATTTAAGAATCGCCGGATCGATGTACGACGGTGAGTACTATCAGGGAAAACATTACGCACAGTCCGACGATGACGGCGGAAAGCTTACATCGACAAGCGATTACATCAGTTATCGTCCCCTTGACGAATACGAGTCTTCCTCGTCTACCGTGCCGCGAAGACGAAGACGAAGAAGCAGAAGAGGCAGTAGAGAGTCTGACTACGAAAGTCCACGTGCCAGAGACGTTCAGTTGAGAGCATCCGCAGACAATAGAAGGCTGATGATTCAACGAACCGAATCCACGCCGACTCTATACTCGGACGAGGACCTAAGCTCGATTGCGGATCGCACCAGACGCATGTACCGCCGCAAGCGAAACAGCAGCTGTCCAGAGAGCAGAGATCTGCGAATATACGGCACGCGAAGAGATGACGAAAGGACGTCGAGTTTTGTGCTGGACTCTGACGAGGAGTTCGGCTCTGTGGAGACGGTCGTTGGCGCCGATCATTTCCGTCGGATCACATCCTCGGGCTTCGCGGCGGAGACTAGAGCGAACGGGCGATCGGGCTTCCTCGACGCGGAACAAGATCGTGATAGCTACTTATTAGACGCAAGACACGATTACGAGAATTGTTATCAGGATAATCGCAGTTATGCGGAGGTCACTCGTGAGCTAGTTAGGTCAGGGTCGCAGCGTTCCTCGGGTCGCGAAGCCCGATATGCGTCGTCGCGCGCTAGGCGTAAGAGTAGTTGCCCCGAGTGTCGCGAGCTGTCCTCCTCGGAGTTAGGTAGGTCGGGATCGCTGTCGCGAAAGGTCGACGACACTCGGCGGTCATCGATCGAGTCGAAGCATAGATATCGTAGGCGAAACAGCAGCTGTCCAGAGGCTAGGGATCTCGAACTGCTCGACAAGAGGCAGCGGCAGCAGCAGCAGCAACAGCAGCAGCAGCAGCAGCTCGCGCAGCGTCATCAGCAGCAGCAACAGCAGAGGCGTCCGAGTCAGCAGCAGCAAAACCAACATCAACAACCGCAGGGAAGTAGTAAGAGGAACGTGGCGATCAGCGACACTCTCGAGTACTACGAGTACTCGATGGAGAGCGAGAGCCAGTGCAGCGAGAACTGCGGATTTGGCCCGTGCGATCCGCGTAGGCCCCGTAACCGAGCACCCCGCCCTGGTAACGCTAATTCGAGTCTCTTTGATTCCCAAACCGCTACCTCCGACACTGCTAAAAACTACCACCCACGGGTCAACGATCATCATCACCACCAACACCCACAAAACACGAAAACGTCGCCGCACGTTGGTAATGTGACGTACCTGCCGCCGCGGCCACCGTCGTCCTCCGCCCGGCGACGATCCTTCCGAAAAAAATCCGTCTACGACGTCGACGTCGACACCGCCGTCGATCGTCGTGATGATGATGCACGGACTCGTCGTTCTTCGTCCATGCCCGAAAGCAGAGAGTACAGCGGCCAATCGAGCTCGTACGAGAAGACATCCAGACACCAGGTCACCGACAACGGGCATGACGGGCACGATAAGAGAAGTCAGTTTACTAGAAGCCTCAGTAACGCCGATGTGCCCCAAGATGAGAAAGGTGAGAGAAAAAGTTTAATTAGACCGACTAAAAAAAGTACAATTTTTTAAACGAATTGAAAAAATCGACAAAGTTGTTTTGATAAATTTAATTTTTAGTTTCATTTTGTAGATAATAAAAAAGTGCGTTCTAATTATTTTTATTAGTACAAATAAATTGTATCCGTAGCATTTTTATGTGTCTCTAATAATATCGAAAATTGAACTCATTAATAAAATTAAATTAATTCTCGAATGTTAAAACTTTGTTTGTTTTTTTTTATATTATATATTTTACTTTTTTATATATTTTATTTCCTTTAACAAAAATTCTGTTCGGTGTCTAGCTTTGGTCTTTCACTGATGTGTACTAATTCTTCGTAAGAATGGCATTGATTTTACCGTCATGATGCAGTGACGTATAGCCGAAAAAGTAAGAGCTTTGCGGAGTAGTAACATAAATTTTCGTCGAGATTTGCAGTCACGAACTCGTTACACTCGGATTTAACCGGTAGTTAGAGAATTGCGGACGTACGTTCATGCAAACGTTTTATGAAAGTTTTCTTTGAGTTCGCAAAGTCACGAACGTCTTCCTCTGTTTGTCGTTCAACAATAGTAAAGATTGAACACGCATTGCTTTTAGCATTTATATGTTTCATATCTTCTGGTAAAATTTATAATATAATTGGTCGTAATTAATTGTGTAAATTTATATTTGTATTTTCCAACAACTTTCATTCTTTAATCTTCAAAGCTCTGATGCGTTGCAAAAAAAAAAAAAAAAAAAAAAAAAAAAAAAGAACAAAAAAGGAAATATTTCGAAAAAATGTGAAACAAACCATTATACTTGAAGTACGAGTCGCGCTAATCCGATTCCATATCCACACAAACACGTTTTTATCATTGTTTCGCAGACACGGGTAGTTTTAGCGACACGGCGATCGCATTGAACGTTGAAGATGCTTCGAAGCGAGGCCGTAAAAGCTCGCCAGGAAGTAAAAGTGGAAGCGGCAGTAGCAGCGGAAGCGCGGTGCAGTATCAAACGGGTCTCGGGAAAAAGAGCAACAGCACCAGCCAATTATCTGCGACAGGTAACACATTGTCACACTGGCCACTTTCTAGTTAAGTTTGCGTTTAGACTCTCAACGTTATACATAGTCCATTCTTTCGTAAAGATCGATCGTTGGCGCGAACATAATAACGTTTCCCTCCCTCGATACGCGATATTAGAAGCGATTTGATTAATGTATGGATACTATCTCACGCGACATTAGACAGTTTTCTATTTTCCTGACATTTATATATCTTCTCTCTTTAGTGAAAAAGGAGATCTTCATTTTCTTCAGAACATCGATATTTCGTAAATTAGGATAGCGTAGTCTAGTATCGTTAGTGTGTAGATTATAACGGTGTGCTCTCGCTACGTGCATAAATGAGGATGATGTAAATATATCATTGACATATTGGTATTTTTGATATACAGTGTATCTCGTATAGGTAGAGTACAGATCGATATTTCTTGTCAAAAAATAAGCTCTTCTATCTTTGACCAAATTTCCAAAAATGCATTGTATTCGAAATATTTTATTTTTTTATATATCAATACAGTACATTTGCTGTTTCTTTTAATCTTTAAAAATTGTAAAAATATCAGTTCTGTTATAATTAGAGAGGTATAATATATTTACATTTTTATATGTAATGAAATACTTAAATAAATTTTATTTAAGTTGATATAAAACAAATTCTTTTATGGCAGCGAAGCGTGCTTTTTAACTCTGATGTGTAAGCAAAGTAAATGTTATTTATGTAGTTTTTAGTTTTTCCTCATTATTTCGTCTTCAATTATCATGAGTATTCATACGAAGAATAATATCGGAAAATAAGATATCTCGAAAATGATGCATTTCCGGAAATTTTGTCACAAGAAAAAATGCTCATTTTTTTTACAACAAATATGTATCAGTAGTATCACAATCTCTACCTGCATAGGATATTCTGTATAAACGTATCGGCAATGAAAATAAATTTAATGTAACTTGAACATATATGCGCGCGGGGACGACAGAATTTTTTTCGATTATATATTTTTATCAAACAACAAAACACGAATGAAGAATAAGAGAAATAAGGAATTACAGGTAGAAATATTACTTATCAAAATATGTGTGTGTTTAATTAAAGAATCAATGTAAGTATTTGAAAATGCTTGTGCGTATTGATTGAACTCTCAAGCGATTCTAATTGCGATCATATAATATATAATTGATTATAATTTTTATATATTCAAACGTATATAAAATATTCATACACACACAAATCTATAGAATAATTAAGAAATTGGTAATGATACAAGAAGTATTCTGCACATTTGTTAATTTCTTGCTTATCTGTTATATCTTATTCTTCCCATTTCACGAATCTTGGTTCTTACGATCAAACATTCATTAATTCAATACAGTTCAACAAAAAATAATTTTTTTAATTTCAAGGTAAAGAGTAATTATTTGCAATAAGTATATTGATACTGTGTGATTACTGATTTAAACTAACTATTCGAACATTTCTTAATCGTTTATTCAAACTTGAAGGTTTCTTATCAGATCGTTAAATACAAACTTAATATCGAACAATAAACTTGAAATTAATAAAAAAATTAATCTTGCAATATTAATGCAATAGATGTAAATATTTAATAAAAATTTTAAAAGCGAAAAAGTTTTTTTGCAAAATAGGGATTTTTTAGATTACTGCATACGAATTTGATATCAAAATTGATTAAAATAGAATAGATAATTAATTGCAACTTTTCTATGGTGTGTGTAATAAATTTAATAGATTATAAAAAAATTTTATTATCCTTAACTTTTCAACTTTAATCTTTAAAGCAGATATTTTTTTGGAACTTAAAGTTCTAACAATATCTTTAATTTTGAACAACATGGATCTCTCTTTTAACACATCACGTATCGTAGCTGTAATATGATAAATTATGTTATAATGGCAACGTGATAGAGCATTTCTGAGAACAAAGTCGTATTTGAGCTTGAAAGAAACTATAAGCAATGATTATTCTTTTTCTTGAAATTTTTGTTCTCTCTTTGGCCATGTTACCATAATTCAAAAATCATCGACAAGTAACATTCTAACATTTGAACGATAACAAGAGCATACCGTAAACAAGCAAAAAACCCATTAAACGGGGCAGTATGTACATTCTAATTGTATTCTTGTTTTCTCCGCCATCCCTCCTCATCTTTATCCGCCTCTCTTCGACATGAAACACACTCACACTTTACTTCTACCAACCAACCACCTCTCGACGCTGGGGGACCATTCACGTCATCGATCTGCACCCACCTGCACGATTTCTCATCGCGGCGGCCCGATCGTCGCCCGGGCTGTATTCATGGAACATTCCATACGGATCATCGATCGATTTGCTGGACCGATCGTCACTGTTACGTAAAAAAAAAAAAAAAAAAAAAAAAAAAAAAAAAAAACAAAAATCACGAACCGATACTCTCGTCACATTTACGAAAAAAAAACAACAATATATACGCATGTAAAATCGTTCTGATAAACTGACACCACGCTCACGACAACTGTTGCTCTTGCTACCGCCACTTGCAACTACAACGAATAACAACTACAACAACAACAAACTATATCACGTCACGCAAAATCCATAACATACCACGTGCGTCTGTTGGTGGTACATGCGTGGGCGAGGAAGGACGGAAACGGCGGCTGGGTTTCGGGAAGAAGGGGAAGTCGTCCTTTACAGTTCACAGGAGCGAGGAGGTCCTGCCGGAGGATACGGTTGGTGGTAGGAGCGGACGACAACCGAGCTCCGCGAGCAGCGACGGCGAGGGGAGCGGCGATGGGGACAGGTCCGACATTAGCTCTCTCTCTCTCATACAGTGTAGAATCACACCTTTCTTTTTCACATCTTTCGCTTTATTTCCCTCATAAAATTTTTGCGTTATTGCGCGGAAGCGAGGGACCAACGGAAGCCTTATTGCAGGACGCGAGTCTCAAACTTTATGTCCCGGTGACGATGAATCCTTGTGCAAAGATCCACACATGAGATGACGTTGTTTCGTCATCCGTATTTAATCCTTGAATATAAATGATATATACGATATAGTTTACAGAGATTATCATGCGCAGACAAGAGCGAGATATTGTTAGAGATCCTTTTTAATCAGATATTTTGATTTCATTAATCGTAAATTGGATCAAGCCTTCGACGAAATATGTGAGTACACGTTGCAGATGGGAGGACTTGCGATAGAAAGAACAAGAGCTATCGTTCAATCTGACGACACCGAATGTTGACAGCGACAATGAAAACACACCACACATCACTCTTTTAGAGGCCGTGCTTTAGTCGGGGTCGATTGCGAGTCTCTCGTGATTGTTGTCGGAAAATACTCTCTTGCGACTAAAGCTCTCTGATTTTGCTAGCAGTGGACGACGGATCTGCGAAAGATCCTTGTCGTATTGCCGACGAATGTTACTTCTTCAATCTTTTTTTTTTTTTTTTTCTAAACGAATCGAAGAAAGTATTTTGCGAATCTGCACGTTTCTACCAAATAGTCACGAGGTGATTCTTTCCTTCTCGTTTATTCTAGATCGTAGAGGCTATTTCTACGTAGTATTGATACGTTATTTCTAGAAAAACGTTCGCACGAGTTTCCTGGGCTGTAACATCGCCGTGTCGCCAAATTGTCTACCTTTTTTTTCTTGGGGTCTCTCTCTCTCTCTGGAAATGCAGTTCGCGCGCGCATCTCCAGTTGGGTTATTACATTATGTGCCTATGTATGAAGCGTACCACGCAGATCAGGAAACTCAAATTCTAGTTGCACAAGTATAGTTGTGCTCTGGCGTCTTTTCGTGACTCTAGAATAGTATCGGCACCATGTGTCACACGTTATAATCGTTCCGTTCCATACAGCTTTTCCAATCTAGATCGTCGCGTGGTCAACTTGAATTTCTCGATAGCATCGAGGTAAGTTGGCCACCACTCTTTGATACTGATTATTTTTTTATTATTTCTTAGAAGCCGCTGTGTTGATACGTGCTTCAGGTGAGAGTGCGCTATTCACACGGCTTTTGAATTTTTCAATGTCCTGAATCGTTGCAGTGCTTTTACAAGCGTATATTTTTACGTTTTTTGATATTCTTAAGATTATTGATTACGAATCCGTTGAATGTATAATCAGATATTTACCGGACAATTCTTACGTACACCGGTCTGATAATTATAGACCTTTATTTTACTTTTCTTCTTCTTCTTTAGCCTTCTTTGTATAAATTATTAGATTTGAGAGCTTTCGAATTATGTAAAATATGTATATATTTGTGTTTATAATTATCTGTGTGTATTTAAGAGGTCCGGAAAATCTATAAAATTTATTTAATATAATAGAGATGTATATATACATATTAAGCAATTTTTTTAGAGTTGTCGCTGATTAAATTTTATACGCAGCATACTAGTGATTTTCTGACGTAGTTACGATTAATTTTGGTCTCGATAGAGCCTGCGTGAGTTAATAAAATGAAGATATCACGCGTGACAAAGAGAGGTGGTCTCACTTATTTACGCTTCTGAGTCCGTCAAGGACTTCGTAATTGCACGGATTATTCAAATAAACTCTTACTATAGATCATCGATAATAAAGTTTCTCTTTTTCATAGAGAGTTACTTTATTGAATGTGTCTTATAATGCTGAAAGAAAGTTCTGTTACGATTCATGCAAACGCTATCGTTATTATTTGTGACGGACGTCAGAGAATTTAAATTTTTACACATATAGGATACTCTAAGATTAAGCATATTTTTTTTTGTTTCGGTGTCAAATGCAAATGTGTGCCCGCGCGATGTTATCTCGTTGCATTTCGCTCCAAATATCACAAATATCACAACACCTCGATATATTCTCACATTCCTTTTCCCTATTTTTCGGTTGTAAGATCTCATTTTTCAAAGATCTCTTTGCATTTTATCACTAATCATTAGACTGATTCAAAGAAGCGAACAGGAAAAGATCGGGCGAAAATAAATGAGAGAGCGAGGGAAA